AACGGTACAGCTCCTAATTATTTGTGTGACACCTTACCAGATAGCATTGGGGATATTTCTCGTTATAACCTAAGAAATTCCCAACATTTAAGACAACCAAACTTTAGGCTTGAAACAATGCGCAATTCTTTTTTCCCATCAACTACAAAAATGTGGAATGACCTAGATATATCTATAAGGAATTCGGCTTCTCTCAGTTCATTTAAATCAAATATAAAATCAAAAGGTAAACCACAAAATAAATGCTTTCTGGTATGGGGTTCCCGTAAATCAAATATACTTCATTGCCGTTTGAGAAATCGTGCGAGCTCCCTTAACTATGACCTATTTAGAGCAAATTTATCAAATACAGCTGAATGTGCATGCGGTAATCCATGTGAAGACTCTTATCACTTCCTTTGTGTCTGTCCCTTATACAACCAGCATCGTAATCTATTAATAAGAGAGCTTCAACCTGTTCGTGACGATTTAACTTTAGACTTGTTCCTATATGGCGATCCTAAATTCAGCATTAATGTAAATACCTCAATTGCAAAATCTGTCCAAAATTATATCAGCAAATGTAAAAAGGTTTGACTGAATGTGATCATCTTTCTCTCTCTATCACTCTTTTTTTCTCTCCGACTCTACCTGTGTTACTATCATTTACTTCATTACTCTATCCGTCTTTTCTTCCACTCTATTTTTCATCTACTCTATCTGTGTTACTATCCTTTACTTCGTTTCGCTCTCCTTCTTTTCTTCGTCTCTATTTTCCATTTCCATATAAAAATATAGTTAATGTATATTGCGTAAATTACCTTATCAAGTTATTGTTTATATTCATGTATTTGAAGAAAAGGACTTTGATAAGTTGGTAAAACTTGTGTCCAATTCTTTTGTAAATATTTATTTGCAATAAAATATGTTTAAATCAAAATCAATGTCTTTACTGATTATATTTGTGATAAATTGCTTGCTAAATTGAGTTCTATTTTATGAAATATATATATAACAAACATGTAAATGTATAGTAAAAATGTATAAAATTGATTTAATATGAAATGATAAAAGCAGGTTTTCGGTTAATGTATTTTGATGTGTTTTTATTAAGTAATAACTGGAATATAGTATCTTACGAAAATCAGGAAATATATTTGTTAAATATTCCTATAACTAACACAGTATTTCCTATTGGCGAACAGGTAAATACAGGGAAATAATCTACCTGTACTATACCAGAACAGACTATACTGACACCTCTATTGTTTTCCAGTGTTTATATAATTCCTTTGATCAGAAAAAAGTGGGAGAAAGGAGAACAAACCGTTTCGAAGCACTACAGGGGCTAAGCGAGTCCTTGTTCAGAGCGGGCCTTGTGGATAGGGGAACAAGAAGGTCCACAAGCAGTGTTTTTGTTTTGTTTTGTGTTTCTGTTTGAAAATGAGGTGGGCTCGCCAGCGTATCAGCAGCTCCGCGCGTGGATGCTCATTCTATTGACCTTTAGTTTGTTGTGTTTTAAGTCCTATTAACAGCTCTGGTCATTTAAGGATGTGTCAGGTTCTGTGCTGGAGGAAAGCCAGAGTTCCAGGAGAAAAACCACCGACCTACGGCTAGTACCTGGCGAATGCCACGCGTAGGCCTCGAACCCGCGACCCAGTGGCGGAGGGCTAGTGGTAGCAGAATATCAGACGCCTGAACCACTTGGCGCCCCTGACCTTTAGTAGCACTGATGAGTTCTAAATGGACCAAATAGCCATATGTAGCAGTACAATGTTTACTTTGTTGGACGTTCTGTATAGAGTAACTAAAATTTGAAATAGGTGATCCTTTACTTTGTATTTCCATTGATAAATTTCTTTAGCATGATTTGATGCAGATTATTTTCAATCTGTTTCTGCACAGTTTTTGATCTTATCTTCCCCTCACTGAACTTCATGAAAGTGTTATTTATAAGTGTTTTATATATATTCATTTATATAATTTATTTTGGTGGACATTCGATGGATTACAGATTAGCAAGTTTTGATGATTTCATCAACGAACCTTACGGTGTACCAATAAAAGAAGTATTTCTTGTAAATCAAGTTTAACTTTATACATACAAATGTATATAATATTCTTTTATCATTGAATTTAAAAACTTACTGTGAATATTTTATTTCCGTTAAATTTACTTAATACTTTGTGATATAAAAGATAGTGTGTTTATCATTAGTTTCTGTTTGTGCATGTTATATAAATAGGGTTAATTAAAGGAAGTGGTTTTTGTATTTACATTTATTAAAATTACTCTCTGTTCAAAAAAACATATGACAACATATTTTTATTCACGCTGGGACAGTAAAATATATCAAGATTAACATTTTGTTACAGATCACTGATCAGTAACATCATAAACCATTGTTGTTCTACATAGAATTTCTGTACAGTTGATCATCGATTTTGACATTCTGACGTTGATACGTTCCTTTTCCCGGTATTACATCATGTAACTTTCTAGTCTGTCCTGGTTGAGTTTATGTCTACTATAGCGGTCGTTTCAGAAAGCAAGATGTTATAGACTGATGCGCCATGGTCACCACCGAGTTGTCTACTGAACATCTTGGGTCAAAGCAGATATTAAAACGAGACTGTTCAGGATATCTGTCCAAATTAGGCCCAAATCAAGTCAACGGTAGTCATCGTTAGCAATGAATGGTCTGTCGTCTTCATATTGCATATTCCTGGCTCATCTGTATGAAGCAGACAATTTTGGCTTTATGATAGTTTTATATGGCAGATTTTAATTGTACATGGGATTACGGTCGCTTTCTAGTTTCGAGCTAAAGGGAATTTCCATTTAGCTCAGTGGAAGAGCGTCCGACTAGGAACCTGGAGATAGAGGGTCCGATCCCCGTGGGACACTAGTAGCATGTGCGAAGAGGCATTCTTCCTTTTGATGTTCCCTTTTGTGCCAATACATATTTGGTTTAGTTTCCCTTCGGAAATTAACAACAGATATGTCATACTGGCCGAGTATGTAACATCCTCGTTACTCTATGCATGGGTTAGCGAGCGTAACCCTTGGATATCGAGAATGTGTATATGACTTTCTATATATATCCTTCCTAAAAAATGCTTCGCCAACAAACAACATATACAATACGTCCTGCGAGCAGAATTTATTTAAATGCCACTGAAAAAAATACGTTCGATAACTGATCACATTTATCCTTCAGGACTTGGATAAAGATACCACTAACCTTCTGCCTACAATAAGACTTATATTAAAACTGGTACTCGCACTACAATTGCTTTCTACTCTGATCGCTGATGGCCTCTGAAGCACCAAGTTAACTTGCCTGCAGGTTTGTGTTTGTTCGTGCTTTTCCTGTCTGCCTTCTCTTTTACGGTTATTTCATATCAATTTTATCTTTTTGTATTGACGATAACTTATTTTTCAAGCCAAAATCCTTTCACAAGCATCTATAATGACGCCAGAGACGTAGATCCGCTATCTGCCAGACTCTAAAATATATTACTTAACCTCATCTCTACCAAGAGTTGTCGTTCCTAACACGTGTTGAGTAAGGGAGGCAAGTCTCAACAAGAGGCTCAGAGGGCCTGTATCGCTCACCTGGATAAATATTCTCCAAATAACATCCAAGGGAATGGGCCAGATACCAAGGCCAATCCTTCTATCATATCTGTATTAGATTTTTCATGTCCAGAAATTTTATGTATGGGTATTGGGTAGTGATCTCTAACTGTTTCCAATGTGATTCAGAAACTAGGTCCCTTGGGTTGTGGCCAGACCCCATGATCAATTATAATATCATGACTGCAATCGTTTCTTTATGTCCAACAATTGTAAATAGTTTTGGGGTGGGGATCTTAACCGCTTCAAAGTTATGACCTAGGGGTTAAGTCTTCAAGGTTGAGGCAGACCCTTGGGTCAATCCTTATATCATGACTGCATTCGTCTCTTTATGCCCAGCACTTGTATTTACAGTTTTGGGTTGGGGATCTCAACCGTTTCAAAGTTATGACCCAGGGACTGTGTCTCCAAGGGTGGGGCTAGACCCCTGAGCAATCCTGGAAGCATTTGTGCATTCTTCTCTTCATACTCCGCAATTGTATGTATGGTAGTAGGGTGGGGATCTCAACCATTTCCAAGCAATAAACTATTTTGCCACACCCTTTAGCCAAGGGGGTCAGCCCCACTACTTGTACTATTTGAATCCCTGCCTCCCATGAATGCTTCCAACCAAATATGATTGATATCCAGTGCAAAGATTACAGAAGTCATTTATAGCAATATAGCCAAATTGCCCCCTTTTGGCCACAGCATTTGTACAATTTTGAATCCCCACCATATAGGGATGCTTCCAGACAAATTAAGTTAATTTCCAATAAGTGGTTAAGGAGAAGAAGTCGTTTGAAGAAATTGTTGACGTATGGCACAAGCTCACCTTGGTCCTTTGGACCAGGTGAGCTAATAAAGTAGCTTCGCAATACTTTTAATGCTATTCCATAAATAAACACATGAAAGGGGTTGGAGGCACTTTTCCAAGATACAAACATCCATCAAATATCAATTGATAAATTATATCTATAATAATTGGCAAATAAGAGTTTTGAATGGGCATGCCACCCTTCCCAGTGTTTATTTCTGGAATATTCAATAGCTGTTCACCACAATCACACATTTTGTGTATTCAATTTCAGCTAGTGATACTCAGCAATATTTTCAAAGCAATGTGGCTAGTTCCATGGATCACAAGGTCAAAAGATTCATTATCATTTTTTACACAATATCATTTCTCTGGCCCCTGATTTAAATTTGTCTGCTTTATTAGCCTTTGAATCCAAAGATTTAACAAAAATATTTGGTAATGAATGGTGTCTTGAAGGAAAATGAACTTTTTGAAATTCAATGAATACTATCAGCATCATTGTGGTGATTAGAGATTGCAATTAATATATATGAATCTAAAATATCAGCTGTAATACTGACACAGAAAACTAGGAATCATAAATGTTTGGAAGGAAAAGGTTTTATTCAAGTTTCCTTGTCATCTCCTATTACTTCCAGGCCCCTGAAAATAACAAACAGGAAATGGTTAGCATATCTCACCAGAAATCAATGATCACAAATAACTGATATTACATACATAAACAGGACTAGAAACTTAATTTTGTATACGCCTAGTCAATAGGAGTAGTGGTTTCAAAATTTAACTGGGTCCATGAGCACTAACCTAATATCATTCAACAACATAAGCAATATCAAATTTTGACTAGTCAATCATGCTAGCGGTTTTCAGAACTTATAGCCCAGCAGGAGATTTCACTAGCCATTATTGGCTAGCCCTGATGAACATTGAATCCATGTTGATTTTTTTTAGATTTATTCCTTTTAAAGTGAAATACTTAAGAAATTTCAAATAAAGAAAATGGGACACATCAAATGTTATTTGGTACCTGAATTTAAGAACACACAAGAAAATATCTCCCAAACGAACTTCAGATCTTATAAAAAAGACTACCTTTAGTGACTGATTGTTTTAAATTGTGTGATTTTTCATAAGCAGGTGAAAAAAGATTCTTTGGTAATCTTAATGAAGATTTCAATGATACTTTCTAAAAATTAGAACTGCTCTCATGAATTATTAGCTAAAAACAATTGCTTTTCCTTTTTTTACATTTATATACTTAAATAGTCAGTATTCGTCATAGTGATAGATGTAGAGTGTTATATAACTGACCTGTATCATATTTACAACCAGATCCACCTCAGCGTAACCTTCTGGCTTCTCTCTCAGACTCTAACAGTGTCAAGATGTCTCCCTCACGAACTGGGCCTTTCACGTTCCTGATGATGGAACGGTTACTGTCGTCTAAAAATTCCACGCGGACCTGCATAAAAATGGTCAATTAAATAAATCATATGTCAATTGATATGTTTGGGAAATTGGGAGGTGACCCCATCAAATTAAAACAACCATCTTCCATTTCTTCCAATTTACAGTACACAGGAGAATCTACTAATGCACATGGCCATTATTATTACATGACTGAGATTGCTTATATCATCTGGATGTTTTGGTTGTTTGGTTTTATCACTCGTAATAATTCCATTGTACATATGATATAACTTTTAAACAAATAGAAAATGGTGATCCAACATATGAATTCTGTTGAAGCAAAACCAGTAATAATTGAAGATGTTTTAGATCACTACTTTTAAAGTATGTGGTGTCAAGACTGGAATTGTTTTGGCATAGTGATACGATGCTGAAATTTCACACTTTCTGCAGCTGCTTCATATCTCATCCTTTAAATTTGAATTTAAAACAAAATACATCAGTTAGGTGTTTTGGAATTGACAGAATTATGGTTGTTCGAAATTTGAAGGTTTAAAAAAGATAGTAGAAATTAAACAGAAAATCGAACATTTGACAGAATCATGGTTGTTTGAAATTTGAATGTTTGATAAATGAAATTTAAAAGAAAACTGAAAAAAAAATGTTTCCCGACCTACCATATGAGCTCAAGTGAGAATTAGGAAGTTAGTAATAATAGTTGTTTTAGCTGTAGTTGAATTTGTAGTTGACAGTTTATCATTGGCGTTGAGTGGAGAGATGGAGTTCACAATGGTGAAGACTTGTATATCTTGTGATGGATTAAAAAAATTGTGTTATAAATATTTTAGTGTAAATATAACAAGAGGCCCATGGGCCTTAACGGTCACCTGAGTCTATAGTATTTATTTTTGTTGTTGAAATATGTACCAATTTGAGTAAAAAATAGTATAATGTTAACTTAACTTTGTCAGGACCATGAGCTGATCATTCCTAGACCAATTTTAAGTGAGATCGGCCTATTAGAACTTAGTAGCAAAATAGCGGCCATGGCAGCCAAATTGTATTTCTGATTGACCCGAAAAATAACAACACTTTGTCAGGACCATGATTCGATCATTCCTACAAAGTTTCAGTTCAATCGGCCAAGTAGATCTTTACTTTAAGTTTGAAATAGTTT